GTTCACATAATACATCGGCTATTGCACTCCTCCCTCTTTGCGTACCAAAACTGCTCTGATCACGGACTTAGATACCAATAAATATAGAAGCAAAGGCCTGCCTTGGATGGGCTTCGACAGCAAAGAAGGTTGCCCTATATGCTTTTTCAATTCCTAGAATGCTTTTTTGCACTCCTTTATCCATTTGAAACCCTTCTTTCCATTCAGGGTTTCGAAGAACGGTAGACACTTGTCTGTGGCTTGAGAGAAAAACCTCCCAAGTGTGGCCACACGCCCTATCAAGCTCTGAACTTATTTTATGCTAGTCTGACTTTTCATCTCCAGGAGAGCTTGAATCTTTTCTGGGTTGGCTTTGACACTCGTTGATTAACAAGGAAACCTAGAAACTTTTTCGAGCTTACTCCGAAAGCACACTTTAGAGGGTTGAGTCTCATTCTGTATTTTCTGAGGATGTCGAACATTTCTCTCAGGTGCTCAATGTGGCTTTTGACAACCTTTGATTTGACAAGCATGTCATTGATGTACATCTCTAAAGGTGGAAAAATAACCTGCCCAGCCCAGCCCAGCCTACAGTGGGTTATTCAAAAAGGCGAGTTGGGTTAGACCCGCCTCTTGGTTAGAAGGGCTGGCCCAATCCTGCCCGCCAACCCTAACTCGATAGGTTTTGGTGCGGGCTAGCCCGGAAATTTTTTATATTTTATATTTTTAATTTTTTTTCTTTGTGTAACTGTTATTAGCTAATTTTTCAAATATCAATAATTCAATTAATTTTTTTTTTTTTTTTGTTAACATTTCAAATATTAATTAATTTTAATACAATTAAATTGTAATATAAGAAAAATTAGATTTATTCATTTATCAAAAAACTAAAATAAGAAATAAGAAAATACAACAATTATTGCCTCGTTAAAAACCTTACCAAGAAAAACCCAATTAGGACAAAAACTTGGTAAGGAAAAAAGAGTGCAATAATTGACAGTTAATTTACAAGTTACAAAGATATAATTTACAAAACAATTAATTTGGGGGTTGACTAGGACCTCCCTCATCGTATCATCTATATTACAAAATTGAAATGATTCTATTAAAGTATCGTCAACAACCTCGTATTGATTCTAATGGCGCGATCGTTCCCAATCTAGAAGACATGTGAGTACTTCAATCATTTTTGGTGAAAGTTTAGTCCTCCTTTTATTTAAAATTCTTCCACTTGCACTAAATGTTTGTTCGAATAAGACGGTTGAGACAAGAACAGAGAAAACATCCAGGGCAAGTCTTGATAATACTGGAAAAATATATTTTCTGGTTTTCCAATATTCTAAGACATCAAAGTTGGCTCTTTGTTGTGGATCTGCTGGTAGCATGTCAGGGGTTCCCAAATATTGGTAAAGCTCATTACTCTGTAGCTACATGGAGGACAGTACATTCGTTGTTGATGCTTCTAAAGAGGAGGTTGTGCTTTGGGCTTAGGTCCTCTTCGGCCTATTAAGTGCACTCCAGGAGTCGAAGTCTTCATTTGTTTCTTCCGATGCTACTTTCTCGGGTATTTCGCCTCTTCGCTGGTTCCCATACCTATTTTTATATTGCAAATATACCTCTACAAGACACTCTCTTATCTGTCCTAGTTGATTGGCATATGTTTCGTCTAGAAAATTTTCACTTAATGTGTCTAAACCATTTTTAAACACGCTAATTTAATTCTAGGATCAAATATGGCAGCTAAACAATAGAGAAAATGAATGAGTTTCCAATATTTTTTAAATTTTAATTCCATTGCCTCTATTGGTCCCGCTAAAATTTCATTGTTTCTGTTTTTTTTTTTTTAAATAAATCTGAAATTTTTATAATTGTATGTATTACCAGTGGATTAGTAGGATAATACACACCAGAAAGTTGTAAAGTAGATTGATAAAATTTTTTAAGAAAAGAATGAAATTTTTTAGCTATATGCCAATCACTATCTACCAAATAATGAGGACCTCTATTATTTGCTACAAAATAACTAATTAAATTTGCATAAGGTAAACATGAATTAAGCATGAAATAATACTATTCCATCTAACAGGCATGCCTAATGCAAAAGTTCTAGGAGACATATTTGATTTTATACAAACATCTTGAAATTCAACGTTTCTTCTATTACTACTGGTAATCCAAATCCAAGCAAAAGAATCCCTAATTCTATCAATATTATTTCTAATTTTTTTTATACCACTTTTCACAGTTAAATTAATAATGTGACATGCACAGCGTTGGTGAAAAAACTTCAAATTGTCATAAAAAGGAAAATTAATTTTAAAAAAATCGATAGCTCTACTATTAGCACTTGCATTATCTAAAGTTAAACTTATCACTTTATGAACAACATCATAATCTTCTAAAACTTCAACATTTTATTATAAATTTGTTGACCACTATGATCCACATCCATTAATCTAAATCTCAATAAAGATTTATTTAATTTACATTCGTTATCAAAATAATGACTAGTCACACAAATATAATCTTGTTTAGCTCTACCACTCCAAATATTGGTGGTTAGAGCCACAATAACATGACAACTATGTATTTTATTTTTTAATTCTAATTTCATTTTCCCAAACAATTTTATTAAATCATTTCTAGTTGCAGTTTTAGAATAACTTTTAAATCTTGGAAAAAATGAATTTTTAATAAATCTTTCAAAATATTTATCTTCAGCCATATTAATAGATTGATTGGTTGTAGTAATATATAAAGCTAATTGTTCCTTATATACATCAAAATTATAACGCCAAGTAGTACCCATATTAGTTATTTGAGTTTGATCGGTTTCTGTATTTCCATGTTGAGTAATGTGTTTATTAGCATGTCTTTTTAAAGTACTATTACCATTACTTGCATGAACTTTATAAATATTTCCACAATACTTGCATCTTGCTTTCTTTATGTGGACTCCATTTTCTGTCTCGTAAAACTTATCGAAATGCACCCAAACGTCTGATGTGTGCCTATCGTCAGTTTCGACTACAGTTGACGAACTTGCTTTGCTTGAGATAGAGTTGGACGAGGACGACTTCTAGAACCACCAGGAGCTATAGCAGCATGGGGAGGAAGAGAGGGAATATTATGAGGTGTATTGGATCCTGAAAATGGGAAAGCAGGACTATTTGAATCTACTGCATTTACGTTAATAAATTCAAGGGGACTAGGATAATTTCCTTCATCATCCAAATTGATGGGATGAAAATATATATCCATTGCAGTTAAAAAAAAATTGGATATAGAAGAAATAAAAAATTAAAGAAGGAGAATTGGAATTTGGAAATCTGAATTGCAAATTGCAAAAACTAATAAAAATTAAAATGAGAGCAAATTGACAACAAAGAGAATAATTGAGAGATTTCAATAGAGAAAATGAGAGAATTTGGGATGTGAGAAAATATGAGAGTTTATGCCTTATTTATAGAAAAAAAGGGAAAAGAAAATGACCAAAAAGACTCCTCCAACTGCTATAAAACGGCTATATTTTAAAGGTAAAAAGGGTATTTGCAAAAAAAAAAAAAAAAAATTAATTTTTATTTTTTTATTTTTTTCTTCCAACCCATCGCCGAGTTGGTCTATGAAGACCCGACTTGATGCAGGTTGGGTTAGGGTTGACCCGTCTAACCTGGCCCGTTTGTTCCACCTCTATACACCTCCATTGTCTTGCCAATTTGGTCGGTGAACATTTTATTCACCAAACACTAGTAGGTCAATCCAACGTTCTTCAGGCCAAATGGAATTACCTTGTAACAGTAAATACCCTAGTCAGTAATAAATGAGGTGTGTTCTTCATCGGGCTAATACATCGGGATTTGGTTATATCCCGAGTATGCATCCATGAAGCTGAGAAATGCATTCCTGGCTGTCGCATTTACTAACTGGTCAATCTGGATTAGCAAAAAGTTGTCTTTGGGATAGACTTTGTTTAAATCTGTGAAGTTGACACAAGTCCGCTACTTGCAATTAAACTTTTTCACCAAGACTAGGTTGGTGAGCCAATCCAGGTATTTCACTTTCCTGATGAAGTTGATGTTCAGGAGCTTGTCAACTTCATCTTTAAGTGTTTTGGACCGCTTTGCATCCATAGATCTTCTTTTTTGTTTGATTGGTCGAGCTGTTGGGTCGACATTTAATCTATGACACATTACCTTAGGGTTGATCCCTACCATATCCGCATGTACCCATGCGAACATGTCGAGTTTTTTCTTTAGAAACCCCACTAGATTATCGACTAGTTCTTTACTTAGATTGCTGTCAATTTTTAGCACGCGAGTTGGGTCTTCCTTGCTAATAGATACTTCTTGTAGCTCTTCTGATGGCCTTACTGCGGGCTTTTCTTTATGGATGGGAGGATCTATGGTGTCTTCCAGAGGTCTGGGGTTTGGTTTGGACTCTATGATGACCATGGTTCTCAGGAGCGTCACTTCAGTGCAGCATGAATAGCCCGATTGTAACATTCATGAGATTTTTTCTTGTAGCTCCTAATTGTCGCGACCTCGCTTGGAGTCAAGAACCTCATTGCTAGGCAGCGTACCAAGGTGACTGCACTAAGATCATCCAAGATCGGTCTTTCAAGGATAAATTTGTAGGTGGTCGGGCAATCCACCACTAAGAATTCTGTCATCACTGTCCTGATTTTGGGTTCTGCCCCTAGGGTCATGAGCAGGTTGATTGTTCCCTTGGAGACTAGGTTATCCCCAGTAAATCCATAAAACGGTGATGGACAAGCCTTTAGGTCTCGTTCTGTGAATCCCATTTCTTGGAAAGCTTCCAAGAAGATGATATGTGTTGTACTACCATTATCGACCATTACCCTAAGTACTTGAGCATTGCTAATTCTTGCTACGATCACGATCGCATCATGGTAGTGGTAAGGAGATTCTTCACACTCATCCATAGTGAATCCTATCACCTGCTCTCTTGCTTGTGTTGCTTTGGCGGCTTCTGTTCATAGCTCATTATTTAGGGGACCGAGTCTATTCTGGCCTCTTGCGCTTATTGCTCGCAAAAGCGCCTTGAGCTCCCTACAATGTCCAGACCCCCATAGATCATGTCTACCAGGACCTCATTGTTGGCTAGGGCTTGCTGGATCTGATTATTTTGCTCACTTGTATTTTTGTGAGCTGCACCTTCTTAACAAATTCTTTTAGGTGGCCCATTCGAATCAGATCTTCGATGACATCCTTTAGAGTCCAGCACTGATTGGTGTTGTTCCCGATGTCCTGGTGATATTGACAATATTTCTACCGATCTCTTCTGCCCGGAGCTCCCCTCATCCTTTTTGGAGTGGGTAATCTTTTAGCCTCATAGGAAACTTCATATGTATGAGTTATGTCTTGAGTGAGGGAGGTGTATTTTGCATATCACGGAAAAGGTTGCCTTTCCCCGCCATTTTTAGTTTTCTACCTTTTTTGGAATCTGTTCCGGTCCCTATCATTGTAGTCTTGGCCTCTTCATTTATCTGTTGGGCGATCTGGTCGGCTATCCGGGGCTCCTTGTGGCAAGCTCTTGGCTAGGGCCGTTAGCAAGCTTTCCACTCGTTGATGTTTAGTAGACATTTGGTAGAACTTTGTCAGGCTCACATGGTCTTCACTTTGGAGCTCTTTCCACAACTCTGTCTACAGCCTGATACCCGTAGTGAGCAAAGTCCGGATTAACTTTTCAGGTGCATCTACGACCTTTGCTTGCTCGTTCTAGAACCTCATTAGATACGAGGTTAGTGTTTCGCCTCTCTCCTAACGAATATTGCTCAAGTAGCTGAGCGACATTGCGAACTGTCTCCTTGCTTGGAATTGTTATAGGTATAGTGAGGAAAACTATTGCCAAGAACTAATCGAGTCCGCCTTCAGCCTCTTGTACCACCTTTTAGCATCTCCTACCAATGTGACTACAAACCAGCGACATTTTGCCAAGTCACAAACCTAGCGTAGTTCCATCAGGTTGTTGAAAGTGTTAAGATGGTCTTTGGGATCTCCTTTCCCATAAAACTTGCTTTTTGGGGCCCTGAATACCTAAGAAAGTGAGATTTGACAAACTTCCTCTATGAATGGAGAGCTCAATATCTCTTCTGCAACATTGTTCTGGTGGGCTCTTAGATCATCAAGCATTCTCTACACCCGATCTAAGTCTTCGTTATGGGGATTACCTTGGCTGGCTCTATTCAATCTTACCTCGAGCAAATTAGTTCTCAAGTCTGTTGCTTGTGAGCCCCTTTCATTGTGTGCCATGACGCGTGAAGTCGAGTCATGATGGCTTGGCTGGTAGGTGTTATCATGCTCATTAGTATGTTGCTCGCAACGTTGGTTATAACTGAAACGTCGGTCATTGCCAGATTGGCATGCATTACTCATCTTGCGAGGTTTGAGCATGCTTTTGGCGTGGGTTAAAACTGGCACGCTGACATTGGGGATATGGTTGAGTAGGTTGAGTATCCCTCTGGTGACCATTGCCTTCATCTTCCCTCAAATGCTCTTTGTCTGGTTGCCTGTTAGGGTTAGTTTACCCGTGGGATTCTCATTCATGAGCAGAATGTGTCCGGTGGTGCCGAGATCGTCGATTCCTTGGTGTCGATGAGCCAGATTAATCGCCGACTGAATTTTGACCTATTGGAGTAACATCAGTGAAGCATAGCCAGTCCAGGTCTTTCGGGGCCGGCTGATGGTTTTTCAATTCAACCACGTTTTGTTGCACTGCCACTGATCATCTCCACTAGTTGACCATTTTTGGGATTCGATGTCCCTGCCCCTACTGGTTCGTGGTCTACTACCCTGGCGGCACTAGTGGTCGACGCTTGGCAGCATCTTGATGCACCTCCTGGTGGGTGGTTTCCATGTTGTCGTGGTTTTCGGTGGTGGTTTTTGATCTGTACAAACTATTGTAGGCCTTGAGTGATTGGGTCACTGGGATTGTTTGTTGAAAATTTTGAGATTTTGGCAGAAGCCCTTCCTTCTAGCACTAAAATGTCGAGATTTGCACCTACTAGAACGATGCGATTGACCTTGACGGAATCGAAACTGATGTGTACGTGATTACAGGTAACCAACAATGTTGTGAATGAAAATCAATAAAATAATGACACAAAGAATTTTAAAGTGGTTTGGTGAGTTAAACTCTTGAGCCTACGTCCACTGTTTTTGTATTTGTTGTGAGAGTTTACAATAATAATCCTAAAATAATTTGCTAACCCGTTTCTCATCATTAGAGGGAGTTTATATACAGATTGTGTACAAAGGAAAGAGCGAAAATAAAGGGATTACAATTAAGATTGAAATGCAACTCCGATATCCTCGCGATTGCGCTAAGATTATTGTCTATCTGATCCCTTCTAAGATATCTAGGATCTGAAGGAATCGGCTCTTTGTCTGGTTGCTTGCTAGGGTTAGTTTACCCGTGGGATTCTCATTCATGAGCAGAATGTATCCGGTGGTGTCGAGATTGTCGATTCCTTGGTGCCGATAAGCCAGATTAATCGCCGACTGAATTTTGACCAATTGGAGTAACATCAGTGAAGCGTAGCCAGTCCAGGTCTTAAGGGGCCGGCTGATGGTTTTTCAATTCAACCACGTTTTGTTGCACTGCCACTGATCATCTCCACTAGTTGACCAATTTAGGGATTAGATGTCCCTGCCCCTACTGGTTCGTGGTCTACTACCCTGGCGGCACTAGTGGTCGACGCTTGGCAGCATCTTGATGCACCTCCTGGTGGGTGGTTTCCATGTTGTCGTGGTTTTCGGTGGTGGTTTTTGATCTGTACAAACTATTGTAGGCCTTGAGTGATTGGGTCACTGGGATTGTTTGTTGAAAATTTTGAGATTTTGGCAGAAGCCCTTCCTTCTAGCACTAAAATGTCGAGATTTGCACCTACTAGAACGATGCGATTGACCTTGACGGAATCGAAACTGATGTGTACGTGATTACAGGTAACCAACAATGTTGTGAATGAAAATCAATAAAATGATGACACAAAGAATTTTAAAGTGGTTTGGTGAGTTAAACTCTTGAGCCTACGTCCACTGTTTTTGTATTTGTTGTGAGAGTTTACAATAATAATCCTAAAATAATTTGCTAACCCGTTTCTCATCATTAGAGGGAGTTTATATACAGATTGTGTACAAAGGAAAGAGCGAAAATAAAGGGATTACAATTAAGATTGAAATGCAACTCCGATATCCTCGCGATTGCGCTAAGATTATTGTCTATCTGATCCCTTCTAAGATATCTAGGATCTGAAGGAATCGGCTCTTTGTCTGGTTGCTTGCTAGGGTTAGTTTACCCGTGGGATTCTCATTCATGAGCAGAATGTATCCGGTGGTGTCGAGATTGTCGATTCCTTGGTGCCGATAAGCCAGATTAATCGCCGACTGAATTTTGACCAATTGGAGTAACATCAGTGAAGCGTAGCCAGTCCAGGTCTTCGGGGGCCGGCTGATGGTTTTTCAGTTCAACCACGTTTTGTTGCACTGCCACTGATCATCTCCACTAGTTGACCACTTTGGGGATTTGATGTCCCTGCCCCTGCTGGTTCGTGGTCTACTGCCCTGGCGGCACTAGTGGTCGACGCTTGGCAGCATCTTGATGCACCTCCTGGTGGGTGGTTTCCATGTTGTCGTGGTTTTCGGTGGTGGTTTTTGATCTGTACAAACTATTGTAGGCCTTGAGTGATTGGGTCACTGGGATTGTTTGTTGAAAATTTTGAGATTTTGGCAGAGACCCTTCCTTCTAGCACTAAAATGTCGAGATTTGCACCTACTAGAACGATGCAATTGACCTTGACGGAATCGGAACTGATGTGTGTGTGATTACAGGTAACCAACAATGTTGTGAATGAAAATCAATAAAATAATGACACAAAGAATTTTAAAGTGGTTTGGTGAGTTAAACTCTTGAGCCAACGTCCACTGTTTTTGTATTGCTGTGAGAGTTTACAATAATAATCCTAAAATAATTTGCTAACCATTTTCTCATCATTAGAGGGGGTTTATATACAGATTGTGTATAAAGGAAAGAGCGAAAATAAAGGGATTACAATTAAGATTGAAATGCAACTCCGATATCCTCGTGATTGCGCTGAGATTGTTGTCTATCTGATCCCTTCTAAGATATCTAGGATCTGAAGTTATTTGTAAGTTGGTTGAATAACTGTAGGGATTGGTTGCGATTAGCTTGTGCTAGGTCGAGCTACATCTCGACGAACTTATGCCAAGTCAAACAATAGATTGAGTCGAACTGATTTTGGATTGAACTATACTCTCGCAATTCTCCGAGCTTGATAGAAAAATTATACACAACAGTTATGAAATATAACTAATATGAAATTGTTTTACAATTTACTGATTCAAAATTGTTTTAAACAGGTAAATATAATACAATATTTAAAGGATGTATATTTTAAAATACTTGTTTTAAGATATTTACGGTATACTTAAACAAAAAGTGTGCCGAGAGTGGACGGTCCAAATTATTTTTTCGTGGACCGTATTCTTTTTTCGTCAAAGAATAGCCGGCTTGTTTTGCAAACTTTAATAATGTCATCCAAAGGGATATTCATTACTGTTTGAAATAATTACAAGGTCAAATTAAAATTTGTCATTTCCTTAATTATCTTAATATAAGACCCTTTATCTAATTTCTTTTTCACTTTTATCCTTTTCACTTTGGTAGCTTGAAAAAGTCACTCTTAACGTTCAAATTATTAGAATCTAGTTGACTAGCACTAGAGTAAAAAAAAGTTTAATTTTTTTTATTTCTTATTTTTAGAAAAGTAAAATAACACTTATATACATTTACTATTCCTTCTTAGAAACAATAGATTTTATTTCTTAATTTTTTTCTAAAATATAATTAGTTAATTTATATGTTAGTTTAAAGAAATTCTGATATCTTAGTCCTAATACTAATTTGGAGAACAATTAAAAAAAAAATCTAGTCACTCTAGAACTACAGCCACGTGGACTGTAACGCTAAAATCACGTAAAGCTAGAGTTGCTAGAATGAAGACATGAAAATTGTGAGGGGTAAAAATAGAATAAAAACAGATGAAAAAAGTCTTATCTACTAAACCAATTAAAAAAATGTTAGATTGTAATTTACTAATTTATAAAAAAATAAAAGGATATATTAAATAGCTTTCCCTCATTAATAATGAGCATGTAATATGAGCCAAAATATAGAAATTAAAGCTAATAAAACGACATATAATAAACCCAATGATAATGTTCAACATGAATTCATAATATAGAAAATAAGACTCATAACATAACATTCATAATAATAAACTGTAACGAGTATTAATGTTCGATTGATTACTAATTTCACCACCAACTAAACAACAAAAGAAAATTTGTACAATCATGTCTCTTAATCCAGCACAGACCCATGTAACAAACCAACCCGTTAGGATCACATTATCACATACTTCAATTTTACATCAGGTTAGCAATAAAATTAGCCACTCCTATGACTGATGATACAATCCCGGGTACCGTTGACAAAATGGAAGCAGCAGCCGTAGTGGGTGTGGGTGTGGGTGCGGGCCGGTTGTTACACAGTTTATGAATCTCCTCCCAAAAAAAAAAAAAAAAAAAAAAAATCATAAGGAAACAGAACTACAGCAAAATACTAAAAAATAGCTAGCAATAAGATGAAAACTTTTACTAAATATCAATTTATTCCAAAAACTAAATTGCTACAAAAATATAGAAGATACAATCCACTTCAAGAGACAAAAATATTTCAAACAAGCAAGGCAAAATAATATACCTGTGCCAAAATTGCTTCAGTGACCACATCCACAGTCTCTGCTTCAAATTGCTTCCACAAAGATTTACATTGTACTGGTGTTATCAACATATCTTTTGGAGAAACCTAGCACATGTTCCATGATTGATGAGAAATTTAATTAAAAAAAGATATAAAACGAGACACAACTACAGCAAAATACTACCTCCTCCCATGTGCTTGAGGCAAGAGGGTCTGCAGAAGCTCCTATGCTTCTATCTCGAGTGGATGAAACAGCAACAGTTCTATCCATAAGTGAGGAAAACAACAAGTTTTCAATCTTATCAGGCTTCACATCCAAGCGTATGGCAGCCATTACAGATAATAGCCTCAGTGACTGCAAGACAGTAATAGCAAAAGGACAATTAGATATTAACACAAGAAGGCTGGCAGTTGAACTCCCTTCCATTAAAATCCTAGTACATTACCGCAGACTGGGCATCCTTCAAAACAGTTCTGATGTCCTCTTTTTCAGTCCAATGCCTTGGCATCGAATCTTTGTCATACTTGAAGACTGCTGAGAATCTGAAACAAAATTCCAAGGCATTAAACAACAAGGATGAAAATCAAGATTTATAAATCTGCAATGCCACAATCAAGCTCTCTACCTTTTTTTCATGCGGATCAGAACTTCTCCAGCTTCTTCTCTAGCTTTTTCCTCTACCACGTTTCTTGCATAGCTCCTTAAATTTTGAACCATTTTGTCACTTGTAGCTTGGTCCAACCTAAAACCAGCAATTGCATTTGAAAGCTCCAATACAGCAGCTTCAGTCTCACGTTTAAGAAGCCTTCTTATTGAAGGCCAAGTGTCCTCACTACCATCTTCAAATAGAGATTCTACAGGTTCAATAAGTGCCACAGTAAGTTTTTTCTGCACATCAATGAGGTATCAAAAATCAGTCATTAAGTCACATATGAATATATGGTTTAAGAACCATTTACTGCAATAACAACAATAAATTGTGAATTAGCCAAGAAAATAACCTCATAGTTGGCTATTATTTCAGACAGCTTTGCATCGCAAACCGATAATTTATGTGCATCGATATCACGACAAAGTTTTTCCCGGACTTTTGAAGCATCCCAGTTAGCCTGTCCTATAGCAGCATCTGAGAAAGGGGAAGACTAGAATCAATTGAATTGCAAGCAAGCAGTCATTACATATCATTACATATTAGTTTTCTTTGGGCACAAACGTTCGTAGACAGATAGATAGAGAGAAAGACAAAGAAAAGCCCTCACTGATTGAGTTGTCGAAAGAGGAAAAAGATTGAGTTGGGTTGTAGTGACAAGCGATCGAGAAACTTCAAGAACAACAAATCAAAAAGCAAGAGCAGACATGAAGAGATGGTCATGGTATCCATGATTGAAAGAAAGTTAAATTCAATGTCATACAGCTAAACGCAGTTTATCAAACTTCTAATTTCTTATTAAAGATCCAAGCCTAACGTTGCCCTTCATGTCATGCTTAATGAATTTAAGGAACAATAACTTCGTAATCTTTTGAGAATGTATATAAACCTATCCAATCTAGTATTGACTACCTTTATCAGAAGCAATAGCATTTAATTTTAGTAGTAGTCAATCAAATTTCATGAATACTTACTTATAAAACAATCAAAATTTTCACGAATTCTTATTAAGAAAGAAAACAAATTTCATTAATAAAAGAATATTCAGATACCTCATTGGTAAACAAGTATGAGGGTAAGTGCAAGCTATATAAAGTTTTCTTACCAGCACATCCTTGGTCAAACTCAAACATACAAGATTGATAACAAGTGCGAACTGAAGCAGCAAAAGCTTCCCCTTTGTTTAGTAATTGTTCCAATCTGGTCTTAAAACTGTCAAACGCTTTGGAACGTAGATGACCCAACATGGCACTATACGCAGGGTGGACAAACTGGACAATGCAAGAGACATTGTGAATAAGCGAGGAAAACATAAAAATAATAAAACCTATAGAAAACAGAGAAAACCAAAAAAAGAAAATTTTCTTCAAGACACAAAATGAAGTAAACCATTATGAAAACCATATTCCCCTATTAAACATCATATACAGATTTCAAATTCCCCAAGAGACAATAATAATAAAGGAAAAGTATATTAAACCCTCTAGTTACAAAAATTAATATAACCTTCCTCGATTGTCAAAAATAACAGGCAGCTACCCCAGTTAGCCCACTAGGTAATCAAGATTCATGAACACATACAAACTAATGTGGCATGAGAAGTAAAAATTAGAGCTAAATAAAACAAATGATGTGGTAACCGCAATCATGCATTAGGTGAATTCACACTTCACATTTAAATCCAACGTCGATATTATGCTCAAACCACTAATCTACGAAACTTTGATAACATTAATGCATTTAATATGTGTTTACTTGTCTTGCAAACGAGGTACATCCACGATTGTTTTTTTAATTGTCCTTAACATGTGCCCTTAGGGAGCACCTTTAGACCAAGCTAAATATACTGTTTTCCATTTAAATGATTCATTGAAAGTAGCAACCTCATCACCATTAAACACAATCTGGAAACAATAACGGATAGCATAAATGGCAAAAATTATATCTTGTGTTAAGATGCTTTTAAGGTGAACTTGCATGAAACCATAAAGTTTTTCCGTAAGTCCCACTTACATGCATGACAACTTTACAAAAGTTAATTCTCTCAGTAACGAAAATGAATAACATACATAATAAGTAGGTTGAACCTTACATCCAATGCTTTAGACTCCAAATGTTGTCCCTTTGCAGTTCTGACACCTTCATCAAAGTAGATTGTCTCCATGTCATACCTATGAAAAATACTCTTAAGAGTGTTAGTTACAATATCCACAATCACTCAGGATAACAGTAGCAGTAAATCATGGCTTCCTCTACAGGTAAAAACATGGCAAATGAGGAGTAGGGATAATCATTTTAGATTCTATAACACTTTAGGAGTTCAGATAAAAAATTTAGAATCTTTACTTTCAGTTAACATCAATTATCATTGAATTCTAAGCAATACATTGAAGCTTGAGGAAGGATAAAATAGTTATACAGAAAATTTTCTTTACATATGGCATGGTCTTGGCTGCGGGTAGTCTTACAAGAATAGCCTCAAGGAGTATCTTAAATACAAATTCAAGATGCACTTTCATAATTAAAACAAGTCCAATAATATCATTAGACTTGATATTATAACAGAGACAAATGTGAACCTACCCTGAACGATAAGTATCTAAAATGGAGCTAAGCTCTTTTCCAAATCCTGGGACAGGACCCACTTTAGTAGCTTCCACCAAAGCCAACAAAGCCTGCAACAAATCAACTAAGTACTGGCTAACAGAGAATATTTCGATCAGACCAGTAATTCCTGCAAGGGAGATGTATTTAATAAGAACCTTATCAGCTGAAAAAAGGCGGAGCTTCTCATTTGCAATTTCCTCACACTGAACAGTGGCAACCATTACCTGACGAGAGTTAACAAAATTTTATTAATAAAAAAAACATGTGCATATACAGTTATCTATGAAATTGAAAAATCAATAGAACATATACATTAATAATATTTAAAAAAATAAAAACAAAAAAACCTTATGTGCAGGAAGATCCAGGTCCTTGTTTTCTTTTATAACTTTCCATATCTGCTGTGCACTAAAAGAAAATCCTGAGGCAGGAACAAGTCTTTGTCCATCTCCAGCTAGTCTTCCTGGAGAGATGGAATTGAAAAACCGCTGCCTCAGTTCAGCAACCTGCATAACATGTCAAAATCAAAAGCCCCAAGATACCAACTGTAAGCTATTTATTTCACAAAATGTGATAGTACTTTAATTAGGCCAAGATGCCACAATGCCAAAGATTTCGAACACTGATTATTTAGGTCAACATATAACGACTGAAAGAATTCTACAACAAATTCCAAACTCAGTTGAACCAGTACGGTTGTAACCCATAAAAATTAAGGCTTGGTAAACTTGCTAATCTTATGAATAGCTACCTGCTCTTTAAGCTGCTCCTCCTTCTCTTCATAGCTAGACAAAACAGTGACCTCCACCTATATGCCAAGTAAGAAATAATCTTATGTCAAGTATAATATAAAGTAATACATAAAAAAGAATCAGTGACAGAGAGAATAGAAGAATGTTTACTTACATTAAAAAACTCACTGAGAGGAGTACTTTTGTGGGCCTCAGATTTAGGAACTGCATCCCATATCTGTAGAAATCACCTCCTATCAAAATGTTGAAGAAGTGAAATAAACAAAAGAATAAACAAATATAAATAAATATACCTTCTGAATTTCCCTTCTTAAAGTTTGATCTAGTTTTTCAAGCGGGGTCTGCATGGAGAGTACAGGAACGAGATATTGATTCAAAAGAGAAGAGAAAGTCCCTTCCACAAAAAGAATGAAGTGTAAAGGAAAAATATGACGTGCAAGTCCACACCTTGGTTTTATCACGTATAACAAACAGAAGGGTAGTTTTACGCGGCTTAAACAGACGCATCATGACCTAGATAAGCACAGAAAAATTATGCAAAATAAGCAGACATGTATACAATAAACAGACAATAAGACATTGACCATGGACAACTAGCTGGTGTACCTGGAAAACCATTTTTAGAAGAGGCTTATTGGCAGCATGCTCCCGACCGATATCATGGCACCACCTACACATGACATTAAACATCTTATTAACGCTTGAAACTGATGCCTAAACTTTTTGTGTTTCCACAACATTTCGGTGTTTCCAGTAGATACATTTAAGAAACTCCAGGATATAAATCCAAATTTAGACAGCATCAAATTCTGATTAAAGGCATCCATGTAAAATGAAATTTGGCGAAGAAAAATAAACTCACGTACAGACAACAGAAAATGTGAAAAGAAAAATTTGCTGATCTTTCTTCTTTTTTTTCCTTGGAACAAAGAAGTGAAGATATGGCAGTTTTCAAACGTCAAATCACAATTAATAAAACACTCCTTCAAGGATTAAACGCAATAATACCAGTTACATGTTTGTTTCTGTAATGCCAACATATTTGCAGCTCTAAATGCAATATTAAACAAACTCACATGTTTATCAGTACAACATCTGCAATTGCCAAAGCAAACAGGGCACTCTGTTTCTCGAATGCAGTGTCATCCTGAAAAAAAAATGGCAGACACACTTAATGGGTGATGAAAATATTTTCCCAGAAACTAAGTAGAATTTCAACAGATAAAGAAATGATAATACACACAATACATGCATGCGATAATATTTAACCTACTTTTGCAAATAAAAAAAAAAATAATAAAATAAAAATAAAAAATAAAAAACTCTTACTTAATTGAATCATTAAACATTCTTAGGCCACAGCATCTTCTAGATGTGTTTATATAGACTTCAGTATTTTACATGTGTTACAAAAGGTATCAACACTAACTCATACACTTCCACCCAAAGGGGCAAAATCTGCCTATAGGCATCTCTAGAAACCTATAAAGCACAATGAATAACTTTAAGCCTCACAAAAATCACATTGATAACATGGTCAGAAAGGGTTCTCAGAATTCAAACTTAAAAAAAGATGAATGAAATATCCCCGCTTGAAGATAGCAAGGATATCTCTATTGGATTTGCCATTACAAATAGAAACTAATATCATGATCCCTCTTATAAATTGTTAACCCACTTCAGCCCCTAATTTAGAGCAAGGAAATATCACAGAACTCAGTTACTTAACAATTGCTGAATTTTTCATAACAGCACCTTCCTCACAAAACACCATGTGCCCTTTGGTTGCAGAGCTAATAAACTAAACTTCAGGGGACACAGTTATAACATATTTGTGAGTCAGTAGATGTTTGAACACATATGAACATTCCTAAACCTGCTACTGACACCCATACGGATAATCCAAATAGAACTGCAGAAAACTAAGATATGTATGCTACACAAGCCTCCTTCACAGCAAAACATAATCCCATTACCATTACAAATTGAACTTCAACTAAGTAAAGATATGGAGACAAAGTTCATACCTCGCCTCTTTCACTCCCATCAGTTCCCTCTAAATCCATGGCAATGGTGAAAGGCACAATGCCAGCACACTTCTCTATCCAAATTCCCTGAGTTGTCTGACTCCTGCACCCAAAAATAAATAATAAATAAATAAAAAATACATAAACATATTCCCCTGTCTTACATTAAACTGCAAAATAACATAACTTGAGCAACGCGAAAAAAAAAAAAAACAACCTTCCTTCTGATGCATCCATCTCTATAAACTTTGCTCCAAAAAGATGATTCAATAGAGTACTTTTCCCTGTTCACCGTTAACAATAAAAACAAAATAAAATACTAATCCAACATATTAAAGCACACAAAAACCAGTTCCAAAACCCAAAAAAACAGAGCTTTAACTCGAAGTGAAGGCCTTACATTGAATTAAAAACAAAAATATTAAAACTGCAACAAAACTACGTAAATTCTGAATTCTCTGAAGAAATCTACAACAAAGTAATGAACTTTAGAAACATACCACTACTTTGAGGGCCCATGACGGTAACAACGGCGTAAGACACGCCATGATTGGCAAGCTTGGTGGCGCGGACGAAGTGGTCGAGACCGCCGTCATTGAAGCAGCCTTTTCTGTCGATGAGTTGGACGGGGAAAAGCGAGACTTGGGCCATAAAGAACTCGTATTTCTGGGTTTTGGGAGAATGAAATGGAGAACAAAGAATGAGAAGAATTAAAAAGCGTAGTATCTCCGGCCAGAAGGAGAATGGGGACAATAGACAACAGTCTCATCAACAAAAGTCAGAAGCGTCAAACACGCGTAGTATCTCCGGCCAGCAGGAGAATGGGGACAATAGACAATAGTCTCATCAACAAAAGTCAGAAGCGTCAAACACGCTCCTAATTAGTAGGAAAGTATCAAGTTGCAGTTTGACAAGAAAATATAGGCTGGAGGTTTTTGTGGACAATAAAGATTTATAGAATATTTCAAACAATTTAACCAATCTTGATTATGGCAAATTGGCGAATCAAATCTTTGAACTTGCGTTTTATCGTTTTTCTGTCGTTTCTTGATCTTTTTTCTTAAAGGTTAATTACTTTTCAGCTGTCTTACTATTCAGGTTTCACAACTTACCTGGGCAAGATACATTCCTCGTAATATTTTGTCCATCCCTTCAACTTCAAGTAAAATAGATCATAAATGAGAATGGCTATTTTACACTTGGAATAATATTTATCTGAGTTTCCAATGGAACGATTCAGTCCATTAATTAATAAGCATGAACTACACACCATCTTGAACTTAAAAACATAAATATTTTTCAGGAAAAGCTAGCTGTAGCTGTAGGAATTATGCATGGTGTTAGAATTAGTAAAATAATGTTAAAAAACAAAGTTGATTTTCAGCAGCAGGATTGAAGAAGTTGCAAAAGCTAGCTTATATATACGGTGGTTGTTGAAAAACTGAAAGAAAGCTCCATTCAACCGTGTTGGATAAATACCTGGTTTTGGATTAATAGTCAAGTAAAAAAGATTCAGCTTTACTTTGTAGTGACCTTTGCTCAAAGATTCTGTCCTCATTAACTAGCCACTTCTTGTTTCATTTTCATTTCGCTTTCATGCAGGGGCGGATTCAGCCCTTAAGATTTGAAAAAAAAATTATTAATATACAAGCTATAAAAAATTGTTAATTAACGTATATATTCAGAGGCACTTTCAGATTAAAAAAAAAAACAAGAACTATTATATATACTGTATATCTAGGTTTACAAAAAATTTTGTTATTAATATATATATATTCCAAGCCCACATCATATTAAAAGTTTAAAACTCTCTCTAATGTTTTTCTACACAGCTTTACCTGTTTTTTATGATTTAATCCACAAATTCTTTACTCTCTCTTTCTCTTTCTCATGTTATTCTCTCTTAAAATTTTTGAAGATTAAAATTGTTAAATTTTCACTATTCAAGGTGTCATAATTAGCTCCATTTTCTGCTTTATAGATTTTAGGTATATGTATTGTTTATTTCAATTTAGTTTATTTAATGATTGAATCATTTTTTTTCTTTTTGAGGTTTTTTATTCTAATTTGAGAGAAAAAGATATCAATCTTGTGAGTTTATTTTGTATTTTCTGTCTAAGAATGAATCTGCTTTCTCAAATTAAAACATTAACTATATTTTAAAGGACGTTATTCTTCACCCTTCATCTACCACTTTCCTATATTTTAAACGTTACCCTTCAGTTGTTCAAAATTGTTAAAGAAATTTGAGTTACTATCTATGTTTATACTAAAAAAATTTCCTCTATTTTATTAATTCATATTAAAAGTCAACGTAACGTTGACTTGATTTAAGTTTTGGTTGACTTTAGCTTAATTAAGCTAGGTTTGATTAACGCTATGAAAATTTATATTATAATATTTGAAAGCCAAAAATAAAAATATTAAAAGAAAGTTTTGTTCAAGGTTTACTCAACACTTTTACTCAAAATTTTGCTTCTCATAGATTTATTCAAGTAAGAAAATATTGTGTTAATGTATATTCTTTTTTCTTAGGTTCTTAATATTGTATAATTATTATTTTTTTTATTAAGGTTTGATGATTTTTTAAAGTTTTCACTAATTATTTAACAAATAATAGCCGAGCCGCGGAGGCCCCCCCTGGACAAAAATCCTGGATCCGCCACTGCTTTCATGGAGAGTGAAAGGTGGAAACTGGGAAGAAAGGAAGGTTGATATGGTCGTTGCATCCATTGTATATGCTTGGTGGTAATTGATTCAAATATATGGAAAATTAAGCTTTTGAACTTCAAGCATTAGTTACAATATAGTCAATGTATAGTGTCCATTGCATTTTAAGTTAGAAAAATACTATCTTTATAAGGACCTATACAAAGAGGGCTACAAAGTGAGGTGATAGAGAAGAAAAAAACAAAGAAAGAACGGAAAAAGAGAAAGAGAGAAATCATGAAGATCAAGGGTGGCAATTGTCCTTGTATTTGTCTTTGAAATGGTAGCACTTCTCTTTAAGTTATGAATCCAAATTCAAGTGGAACAAAGTCTTAATGCAGAATTTCAAAATTTGTTATATTGAACTCATATTTGCAATAGCGAATTCTCACCACAAATTCGCTATAGTAAAGAAGTTTACAATCAAATCCAATAGCTAATTCTTTGTTGTAAAAGCATTTTCAGAAAAACGTGATTTTTAATTGAGGATAAGTGTTTTTTATTCTTAATGACTATGAATTGTTATAAGACACCCTAAACACTATAAAATGGTGTTATGTCCACAAAAGAAATGATTAGTCACAATTATCATGAAAAAGAGTGATAAACGAATTCCTGAGGCTTGTAAAAACTCTTATAATTTTTTTCTTTTTTCATAATGAAGTTTCTACTATTATAAAATGAACGTAGTTCAAACATAGAAAGTGAATTCATTATTAATCTTTGTGTATATGATGTGCTTATTTATCCATTGTTCGTTTAATTATCAATTTAGTAAGGATGTAGATTTTTGCTAACATTTAGTTGAATTCCAACTTTAGTAACTTGAAAGGTCTACATAGTTGGTGTATATGTGTAGAATAAAATGACAAATAATATTCACATCTCCAGTTTCTACCTACCCATTTAGTAATTTAATTATTAATTATACTTTATAGGATATTCATTTATAAAATTCACTGCCCACGAGTCTCTCTAGCGTCTCTCTCATCCTAGTTAGTAAAAACGGGTATAGGAAAAAAAGGGTATGGGAATTTTACTGGTATAATATATCAAATGATGAAAAATACGTTTGTAAAAATTCGGCCATAAAATTCGGATATGAAAAAAATATGGTACGGGTATATATGAGTTTAATACAATACATTGTCAATAATACGTTTTAAAAAATACAGTAATATTAATTTTGATTTTAGCTCTTTTTATAGATCACCTTATTAAAATCAATATAACATTTCAAATACAAAGTATTCAATTAACTAATAATCGTTAGACATAATAAGATAACACAAATATACAATATATAATTGTATCTATGGAATCTGATTTCTCAATCTCCTCTCCCATTGGGCCATAAATTTGATCAGGTTAAAGTTTTGCAAGTGTTATTAGGAGCCAGCCCACCTAAATTTTAATTCATTAAATAATGTATTTCCTAGAACTTTAAATACTATTGTGAATATTAACCAAATCCATGTTTTCCATTATATCGAAAGTTATCACCCCCAGACTACTTTCAATACTCATAAATTTTTTGAGCTATCCAATAATGAGTAAATTTGTTGACTCTTCTGCAACTGTGCGGCCCTATGTCAGAGTATGTCCCACTCCGACCATCAAATTTGTTGACTAATTAATGACACTGGCACTTGGGAATTAATAATGTTTTTTTGTTTTAAAAAATTTGGCCGAGTTATACAAATTATACATGTATTATTCGCGAATTATACGATTGTGATATAAAATTTGTATATTATTTAATTACACTAATAAAATACGATAATTCGTATATAATATATATATTATATGATTGAGCATATAATTCATATTTTATATGTGAATTTACTAATTAGGATTAGGAGAATCGAGAATGCCTTCCAGACACTCCAAGAAACAGTTAATAACATAATCTTAAACACAAGAATCATCGGGCAAAACAAGTTGAACACGCCATTGTTCAAGTTTCTGTCCACAACACAAAACTTGGGTCAGCAGAATAAACAATTAAGATAAACCATGCATATAATTGTATACCTCCAAAATCTAAAAATATGAATCACAATCAATGATTCAACTTATAATCTTAAATGATTTTCTAGGTTTATCTTTTAAATATAAAAGGTCCCTACCCTTGTTTGACCGGAATTCAGTGATATCAACGGACAAATTAAAAAAGTTGTATCAATGAAAATATCCACAATTACTCCGGACAACATGAACAGCAAATCAAGGCTTCCTCTCCAAGTAAAACATGAGACATAGGGGTAGAGATATTTCAAAGGTTCAGTAAGTGCTGCAGCGAGTTTTTCCTGCACATCAATGAGGTATCAATACTCAGTCATCCAATTAAACATTAATGTAAGGTTTTATAAAAGAAAAAAAAAAATCATTGATTGAGATTACAGTACTAAATTGCGCATTAGCCAAGAAAATAACCTCATAGTTAGCTTTGATTTCAGACAGCTTGGCACGGCAAACCAATGATGCATGTGCATAGACATCACAACGAAGTTTTCCCTAGGCTTTTGAAGCATCCCAATTAGTCTATCTTACAGTAGCATCTGAGAAAGGGGAAGAACAGAGTCATTGAATTGCAAGCGAACAAATTAATAGCTCCAATCATGAGGGAAAAGCTGGTTCACAGTTGTGGTTTAGGTCACAGTTGAAGGGAAAAGCTAGTAATCAAGAATATGCAAATAAAAAACAATAAATGGAGAGAAGCATTTGGCTTATATCACAGAAACAGTTGAGAAGTTCCAGATCACTTTCTGCAAAAACTAGTAGTCCAATAGAGACAACACAATACAAAGATTGACTATCACTTTATCAGAAGTGATAGTATTTAGTTTTGGGAGTAGTCAATCAAATTTTTAGGAATAAAAGAACATGCAGAGAACTCATAAGGACGCAAGTTATATACAGTTTTCTTACCAGCACATCCTTGGTCAAACTCCACCACACAAGATTGAAGACAAGTGCGAACAGCAGCAGCAAAACCTTCCCCTTCGTTTGGTAATTGTTCCAAGCTGATCTTAAAACTATCAAACACTTCAGAATGTAGATGACCCAACATGAGATTATACGCAGGGTGGAAAATCTGGAAAATTCAAGAGACATTGTGAATAAATGAGCAAAACATAGAAATAATAAAAGCTACAGGAACCCTCTATTTTAAAAAAAACTTAATATAACCCCCATCTGTTGTCAAAAATAACAGGAAGCTATTCACACCATTAAACACAATTTGGAAATCATAGCTGATAGCATAAATAGTAAACAGTGCATCTATTTATGTTAAAGATACTTTTAAGGTGCTCTGGCATGAAACCATAAAGTTCTGCTTGTAAGTACAACATTCATCATGAGAACTTCATTAAAGTTCTTTTCTATATAGCAAAAATGAATAACATACTTAATAAGTAGGTTGACCCTTACATAAATTGCTTTTGACACCAAATCTTGTCGTTTTCGGGTTCTTACAACTTTATCATCATAACTATGAAAAAAATGAATTTGGCATAAGAAACCAAGATCAGATTCAGAGCTTCCAAACAGAGTTGGATCAAAGAAAATACTCCAACACTGTCACTGCGCAATATCCGCAATTACTCAGGATAACAGCAGCAGCAAATCAAGGCTTCCTCTCCAGGTAAAACATCACACATACGGGTAGAGATAATAAATCTGAATTCTATAACTTTAGGGAGTTTAGATACAGATGTGAACTTACTCTGAAAGATAGGTATCCAGAACGGAGCTAAGCTTTTTACCAAATCCTGGGACAGGACCCACTTGAATAGCTTCCTCCAAAGCCAACCAACCCTGCAACAAATCATTTAAGTACTGGCTAACAGATAATTTTTCGATCAGACAAGTAATTCCCGCAAGGGAGATGTATGTTAAAAAACCTCATCAGCTGACAAAAGACGGAGCTTCTCATTGGCAATTTCCCCACACCGAAAAGTGGCAACCAACACCTGATTAACGATAACAAATATTTCTTAATTAAAAAAAAAAAAAAAAAAAATTGAAAAACCAACAAAAGATATGCATAAGGAAAATTAAAAACCTTAAGAGCAGGAAGATCCAGGTCCTTGTTTTCTTTTATAAGTTTCCATATCTGCTGTACACTAAAGGAAAATCCTGAGGCAGGAACAACTCCCTGTCTATCACCGGCTAGTCCTCCTGGAGAGATGGAATGGAAAAACCGCTGCCGCAGTTCAGCAACCTGTATAACATGTCCAGACTGTAAGACTCTAGATATCAACTGTAAGCTATTTATTTCACAAAATCTGTAGTGCTTAATTAGGCCAATATGCCACAATGCCAAAGATTTCGAACACTGATTATTTAGGTAAACATATGAAAACTGAAAGAATGCTACAACACACTCCAAATTCAGTTGAACCAGTAAAGATCATAACCCGTATTAGTTAAGGCTTGATCAACTTCCTAATCTTATTAATGGCTACCTGCTCTTTAAACTCCTCCTCCTTCTCTTCATAGCTAGATAAAGCAGTGACTTCCAAGTTCCACCTACATGTCAAGTAATAAATTAAAAGGTAAAATATAAAGCAGTTCCAGAAAAAGAATTAGTCACAGAGATAGAGAGAAAATTAGAGAACGTTTACTTACATTAAAAAACTCACTGAGAGGAGCACTTTCATGGTCCTGGGGTTTAGGAACTGCTTCCCAAATCTGTAGAAATCACCAACTATCAAAATGCTGAGGAAAAAAAAAAAAAAAAAAAGAATGAACGAATCGAATGTGAGCAAACATTAATAAATATACCTTCTTCATATCTTCTCTTAAATAAGACTCTAGTTTTTCAAGCGGGGTCTGCAAGGAGAGTCATAAATAGTTATTGATTCAAAAGAGAAGAGAAAGTCCCTCCCACAAAAGGAATGAAGTATAAAGGAAAAATATAAACGCACAACAAATAGAAGAGTTGTTTTACGTGGGCTAAATAAACGCATCATGACCTACATACAGCACAGAAAACCAGATCATTCTGTGAAATAAGCAGACAACATTGTTATATACAATAAACAGACAATAACACATTGACCCTGTACAACTGGCTAGAGTACCTGAAAAACTGTTTTAAGAAGAGGTCTATTGGAAGCCTGCTTCCGACCGATATCATGGCACCGACTACATATGACATTAAACATTTTATTAACACTTGACCTGACATCTAAACTTTGTGTTACCGTGAGTTTTCTGTGCCACTAGTCCACACATTTGAGAAACTCTATGATATAGATCTTAATATTAAACAGGGTCCATTTCTGATCAAAGGCTTCCATTCAAAATCAAATTTTGTAAAGAAAAATAAACTTTGGTACAGACAACAGCAAAGATGAGAAAGAAGAATTCACAGATAATTTTTTTTTTTTCCGGGAACAACGAAATTAAGATATAAACATCAAACCACAATATATAAAATGCTGCTTCCTGGAATTAGTGCAATAATACCAGTGCCTGTTTATATACTAAATGTACATACAACTTTTAAAGAAAACAAGGGCTAAGCATTGGCTGGCTAAAGTTACAGCAAGGAGAGGAATCATGTATGCCATATAGGTCGATGGACCAAAGAAATCCAGATTTTAGAAACCTTAGGCAACCTTAGAGAATGGCCAGGCCTAGACTCACACTTATCTATCCAAATTCCCTTAGTTGTCTGACTCCTGCCTAAATAAATAAATAAAAATTTCGAATCTCTTACATTAAGCTGCAAAAAAATAGAACTTGAGAAACGGAAACAACCAACCTTCCTTCAAATGCATCCAACTCTTTGAAGTTTGTATCAAAAAGATTGTTCATTAAGGTACTCTTCCCTGTTCACCATTAAGAATAAAAACAAAAGAAAATACCAAGCCAACAGAGCATTAAATCACAATGAAAACGTTAAAAACGTTACATTGAATTAAAACTTAAAAAAAAGGAAATTTTGCAACATCATATATATTATTACAACAAAACCAAGCCGAAACTTTTCAAATTAACATCAGAAATCAGTGTGCAACAAAACTAAAAGGAACAAATTGAGAAGTACATATACCAGTACTTTTTGGGCCCATGATGGCGACGACGGTGTAGGAGAGGCCACGATCAGGGAGGTTGGTGGCACGGACGAAGTTGTCAAGATCGTCCACATTGATGTCGCCGTTACCGGCGATGAGCTGAACGGAGGAAGGAGAGACTTCAGCCATAAGGAAGCAAAATTCTAAGTGTATAGAAATTATATTTTTCTATTAACTCAAGGATTACTTCTTCAATATTACCCTCAATTATGAGTATTTTTTGAATGAATAACAATTGAAAGAGTAAAACTTATTTATACTAAACTAATCCTAATACTATTAGGATAAGAAATAATCAAATCTTAATTCTACTATAACAAAGGATTACTTGAATTCTATTTGAGTAAGCAAAGCTGCTATGTACACCGAAAGTTGGTACCAAAAATTTACACTGAAATACTTGGCACCAGTCAAAAATAGAAATTGAAGGCTGGTTTTCTATATATTACCAATCGTGTATTGCATTATATTTATAGAGGTAATACATGTATTTGAATTTACAAAGTGGTTACTGAGAAGATAAGAACATAGCTATAATATATTTGACTAATAGCTTGTTATGATGCTGCATTATCAACTTCTGAGATCTTCTCATGTTTAGAATTCAAATACTGTTGATCAGTTATAACTGCAGAATCCTCTATAGCTGATATATCTCTAACATCCCCCTTCAAACTGATGGGAAGATCATGAATCATCAGGTTGTCTCGAAGTAATCTGAACCGGGAGGAAGTAAGTCCTTTAGTGAATATGTCTGATGGTTGTTTAGCTGTTAAGATGTATTTGGCTTGAATGTCTCGATTGAAAATCTTCTCACGGAAGAAGTGGTAGTCCACTTCAATATGCTTTGTTCGGGCATGAAAAAAAAGGGTTGGATGATAGAGCTAAAGCACTGATGTTATCAATCCAAATGCAAGGGGTAGTGTGCAGACGTATGTGGAGTTCCTTAAGTAGCATCCTTAGCCAATAGAGCTCAGCCACTGTGTGTGCCATTGACCGATACTCAGCCTCTGTGCTGGATCTGAAAACAACAGATTGCTTCTTGGCTGTCCAAGAAATTAGGCAAGGACCAAGGTAAATGCAATAACTCGAGGTGGACTTTCTGTCGTTAGGACTACCGACCCAGTCTGAATCACAGAAAGCATTAAGGTTTAAAGAGCCTTTGCTGAATTGAAGACCAAAATGAAGTGTCCCTTTGAGATATCTTAGGACTCGCTTGGCAGTGGTGAGATGTATAGTTCTTGGACAATGAAGGAACTGGCATAGCTGGTTGACACTATAGGAGAGGTCTGGCCTTGTAAGTGTCAAGTATTGGAGAGCTCCCACCATTGTTCTATATTCGGTAGGATCAGGGAGAGGGTCACCCGAGAGCTTTGAAAGCTTGCAGCCTAAGGTACAGGGTGTAGAGGCTGGTTTAGCACCTTCCATCTTCAGTTTGCATAGTAAATCAGTTGCATACTTCCCTTGATTTAAATGAAGACCTGTAGATGTAGGAGTGACCTGTATGCCTAAAAAATATGATAAGGGACCAAGATCATTAACAGCAAATTCGGTTTGGAGGTTAAGAATAAGATGCTCAATGGTAGATGATGCATTGCTAGTGACAATGATGTCATCAACATAAATGAGCACAAAAACACAGATGCTGTTTTTATGAAAAGTGAAAAGGGACATGTAAACTGTAGAAGCAGTAAAACCGAGTTCCAATAAAACCTGAGAGAGCCTTAAGAACCAAGCTCTAGGAGCTTGTTTGAGGTCATATATGCATTTGTGAAGAAGGCAGACATGATCAAGCAACTTAGGGTCTTCAAATCCTCTAGGTTGCTCCATATAGACCTTTTCCTCAAGAACACCATGGAGAAAAGCATTAGAAATATCAAGTTGTCTAATGCACCAATTATAGTGAACAGCCAAAGCTAAAACCATTCTAATTGTAGTAGGTTTAATAACAGGGCTAAACGTTTCATTGAAGTCCAGACCATCAACTTGATCAAACCCTTTGGCAACTAACCTTGCCTTGTACCTGTCAAGAGTGCCATCAGATTTCTGTTTAACTTTGAATACCCATTTATTTCGCACAACCTTTTGATGAGTGGGTCGGGGACAAAGGGTCCAAGTATTGTTTGCTAAAAGTGCACTATACTCAGCTTGCATAGCACTTAGCCAATTAGGATCCCTCACTGCTTGCTGATAAGTCCGGGGTTCAATAGGTAAGGAGGAGGTAAAGAGGGTTTTGAGAGGGTGTTTGGTGGAATGATAGAGGTGATATTCTGGGAATTGCTTAGGTTCCAGGGAATTGGTTTGAGATATGGTTATAATTCTAGATGAAGTGGGATCTGTGGATGGAGGGATGGGTTGTGTATCTGTGTTAAAGGAAGAGGGCAGGGGAGAGGTTGGTGATGAAGAGGCGGGAGTGGGTAAGGGACTGTTGGCAGGAAAGGAATTGGCTGAAGTGAAAGTGTCATCTGATGGAGAGACAGGAGTAGGGAGGGGACTGTTATCAGGTCGTGGAGTTGAATCTGGAATAGGCAAATTGACTGAGGTTGAAGTGTTTTCTAGAGGAGAGGTAACAGGTAAGGTGATAGGAGCAGGTTGTGAGATGTGTTAGTTATAACTGTAGGAAAAAAAAAATAGGATTAATGGAAAGATTACCTGATGATGAAGAAGATGTGAGCACAGGAGAGCACTCTTGCAAGGTTGGAGATCCAGCAGCTTAATCCTTTGTGATATGAGCAGGAAAACTCATTTCATCGAAAACCACTTGTCTGGAGATGTACACACGTTTAGTTTGAATATCCATACATCTATACCCCTTTTGATTTGTACTATAACCAAGGAACACACATCTTTTGGTCTAAAGGCTAACTTGTGGGAATTGTAAAATCTGAGTAATGGAAAACACAGGCAGCCAAAGGTCTTGAGGAGTGAATAATCTAGTTCCTTGTTAAGAAGGGTAAAGTAGGGAGATTTGTTGGCCAGAACAAGAGTAGGAAGTATGTTGATGAGATAGGTAGCAGTAAGAAAGGCATCGACCCAATAGGTTGAGGAAAGATGAGATTGAGCTAAGAGAGTTAAACCAGTTTCTGTGATATGTCTGTGTTTCCTTTCTGAAATTCCATTTTGTTCTGAGGTATAGGGGCATGTAAGTTTATGCAAAATCCCATTGCTTGAGAGATAAGATTGGAAGGCAGTTGACAAGTATTCACCTCCATTATCAGTGTGGAGTTGTTTAATAGGCGTAGAGAATTGCTTTTCAACTAGGCATTTAAATCGAATGAAACAACTAAACACTTCAGATTTTTGCCTTAATGGAAACAACCAAGTGAATCTTGAAAAATCATCAATAAATATAAGGTAAAACTTACAACCACCAACAGAAATGATAGGAGAAGTCCAGACATCCGAATGGATTAACTCAAGAGGAGTAGTAGACCTATTATTGGACTTAGAGAAGGGAAGCTTATGACTCTTAGCAATTTGACATGACTCACATAAATGCCTAGATTTTATTAGACCAGAAACAGATAAAACATAACTCTTGATTAATTTGGAAACGACAGACTTTGATGGATGACCCAATCTTGAATGCCAAACTTGAAGAGGAGTTGTGACACCTAATAGAGATATAAATGATGAGAGTAGAGCAGCTTTAGGAGTTGACTTATTGAGTTTTAATTGCTGTAGGTACATGGGATAAAGGCCACCTTTACTAGGTCCTTGGAGGAGTGTTTCCCTGGTCTACATGTCCTTCACCAAAAAATGAGTGGAAGTGAGAATGAAGTAGCAGTTATTGTCATGAAAAAATTTCTGAATTGATAAAAGATTAAATGAGGCATTAGGACAATGAAGTATATCAGATAGAAAAAATTTTGTTTTAGAGTTGGAAAGAAAGGAAGAACCAGTGGTAGTGATGGTTAAACCTCCTCCATTGCCTATTGTGACTGTATCATTCCCATGATATGTTTGTTGATTCAGTGTTAGGTTCTCGAGCTCTGAAGTAATGTGATTGTTAGCACCACTGTCAAGGTACCATGGCTGTTCTGGCTCCTAGACAGTATGAGTGTGAGTTGCCATAGCAGCTAGTTGTGTTGGAGGATGCCTGCCTTGGTAGTTGAAGTCCATTTGGTGGTAAAAGTGAAGTGCCTAGTGATTGGATTTACCACATATTTGACAGGGAGGGAATTTGCTTGAAAAAGTAGATGTGTTTGAGGTTTTGAGGGTGGTGCTTTATGTGTATGAAAGGAAGGATTTGGAGAGGTGTTTGGAGTGATATTTGGTCGAGTGAACTGCTGGTTTTTCTGAGGTAGGAATTTTGGTTTCCTGCCATAATGTGGTTTATGTTTATTGGTGAAGAAGGCCATTTGAGTACCTTCAGATGGTAAATTCTTATTTTGTGCCTCGAGAAGTTGCTCAAAGTTGAGTAACTCAGTTTGGAAGTCATCAAACGAGATGGAATGATCACTGGTGGCAAAATTGAGAATAGTGATGAAAAGGGTAAATATGGGGTTAAGTCCTCCAACAACATATGAAATCAGATCATCATTCTCAATAGACTTACCAGTGGCAGATAGTTGATCAGCCTTGCTGTAAGCAAGTAATCAGAATAGGTCTTAGTACCTTGTTGAAGAGTTTGGAGTTGTCTTTTGAGGTGAGAAATTCTGGAGCGAGACTGAGAAGCAAATCTTGTTGACAATGTATTCCAAACTTATTTGGAAGTAGTGAGGCCATAAACGGTGGACAAAACCTTCTCACCAAGGGTAGCATTTAACCATGCCAGGATGAATTGATCTTTCTTCTGCCACACCAGGTAGGCAGGGTTGATATCAGAGGTGACTTTGCCATCTGAATCAACGAGATACTGAGTAGGACACACCTCTGAGCCATTAACAATGCTGAGGAGGTCATGACTTCTCAGAACTGGAATAAACTAAGTAGTCCAGTTCAGATAGTTTGGTCCCTCAAGTTTAACAGAGACCAAAGATGTGATATTAGGAATGATAAAAGAGGTATTATTGGAAGCTGAGGCCATAATGGATCAAAGGGAGAAAAGCGTGAGCTAATGAGTTATCTGATACCAAGTCAGAAATAGAAATTGAAGGCTGGTTTTCTATATATTACCAGTCGTGTAT